AAAATTATAGGCCAATATCCCTGAATGATATAGATACTAAAATCTTCAACAAAATATTAGCAAATCAGATCCAGCAATACATTAAAAAGATAATACACCATGACCAAGTGGGATTTATTCCAGGGATGCAAGGTTGACACAATATTAGCAAACCAATAAACATGATATATCACTTAAACAAAATGAAGGATAAAAACCACATGATCAATCACACAGAGGCAGAAAAATCATTAGATAAAATCCAGCACCCACTTATGATAAAAACTCTCAGCAAAGTAAGAATAGAGGGAACATACTGAACATAATAAAGGCCATATATTACAATGCTATATTCAACATCATACTCAATGGGCAAACACTAAAAATGTTTCACTTAAGATCAGGAACAAGACAGGGATAGGGATGTCTTCTTTTCTACTCTTAGTCAACATAGTACTAGAAGTACTAGCCACAGTAATCAGACAACAGGAAGAAATAACAGGCATTCAAGTTGGTAAGAAGGAAGTAAAACTGTCATTATCCACAGATGACATGATATTATATATAGAAAACTCTAAAGACTCCACAAAAATGACTAGACTAGTAAATGAATTTGGCAAAATAGCAGGATAAAGAAATTAATATTCAGAATTTGGTGCCACTTTTGTACACCAATAATAAGTTACCAGAACAAGAAATTAAATAAAAAACAATCCATTTACTATTGCAACAACAACAAAAAAAATAAGGTACTAGGAATAAATTTAACTTAGGAGCTAAAAGACCTATACTCGAAAAATTATAAGATACTGAAAAAAAGAAATTGAGAAAGATACCAATAAGTGGGAGCACATACCATGTTCATGGATAGGAAAAATTAACATAATTAAAATGTCCATGCTACCCAAAGTAATCTACAGATTCAGTGCAATTCTTATTAAAATACCAATGGTATATCTTGAGATCTAGAACAAATATTACAAAAATGTATATGGTACCACAAAAGACCCTGAATAGCCTCAGCAATCTTGAGAAAGAAGAACAAAGTTAGAGGTATCACTACCTGATATCAAACTACACTGTAAGGCTATAGTAACCAAAACAGCATGGCATTGGCACAAGAAAAATGCATATAGATCAATGGAACAGAATAGAGAACCCAGAAATAAACCCACGCCTTTAGGGTTAACTAATATTTGACAAAAGAGGCAAGAACATACAATGGGATAAAGACAGTCTCTTCAATAAATAGTGTTAGGAAAATTGGACAGATACATGCAAAAAAAGGAAACTAGACCAGCAACTTATACCACACACAAAAATGAACTCCAAATGGATTAAAGACTTAGATATAAATCACAAAAACCATAAAAACCCTAAAATAAAACATGGGCACTAAGTATAAAATATACCCAACTGTTGAAGAATGTGTAGTATCTCATTAATAATTTTTATATTGATTATATGCTGAAATGATAGTATCTTGGGTATATTGGGTTAAATTTGTTAAAATTGTTTTCATTTGTTGTTGTTTTTTAAATGTGACTACTAGAAAATTTAAGATCGCATATGTGGCTCACATCACATTTCCATGGACCAGTGCTGTGCTAGAGAACAGTTTTGTGGCCCCTTCACCAGGGAAAAAGCTCCAAAGGGCAGGTACCATGTCTCTCCCCTGGTCTGCACCAAGCCTCTGGGACCCGTCCTCTGGAGGTGGATGAGTGTCGGGGCTGGCTTCAGAGAGTCTTCCTGGGCTTAGGCTAGGGTGCAGCCCACTGCCTAAGGTCATGAACGGCCTTGTCATTAAGGTGCTTGTCCTCGTGGAGGATATCGCATGTTTCTTGGCCCTGGTTACCAAATTGGAAATCAGATGAGAAGCTTCTTCCTCTACTCTCCATGCAAGGATT